ACGGCTTTTCTCGTCACTATTCGGGCTATGTTTCAATCCTAGTAAATAGGTTGAACGGTTATTTAGTTTTTCCCCGCTCTTCTGTTTTCCAGGACCCAAGGTACTAAATGTGCTTTCTTTAACTACGCTGAAATCTGTTATATATCTTAATTTCGCTATGGATAACAACCTGCGTTGGTCAACTGATATCCGTCGGTAAACTCCATCACGACGAGACTGCAACCTTGACGCGGTGTGATGGCTTGCGTGCCTCCATGACTCTGCGAGCTACACAGGATGGCTTTTCACAGCCTGAAACGTCAACGGGTAGAAGCCAGACGAAGCTCAGTCTCACAAGCCAGCTGCTTGGGCACCCCCTGGCTTCTTTCTTCTATCCACACCCGCCCCTGGAGAGGTCACTCCAGTAAATAAACACGGTCAAAAAACCCCGCTAGATGGACTTAGGAACGGGGTACCTGGGGCTTCCTCTCGACGGTGGGAGAAGTCTTCGCACTTCATTGGACAGCTACCGCTCGCCCAAGCTGGGCATCCCCCGGCCAATAAAGTGCTGTCCCGTCCACGTTCCGCTTGTCTCATTAGGTGCATGATACCGAGGGTTGATCCCGAAAAGCGGACCGAAAATCAACGCACCAGCGAACAACACAATTAATCGAAATTCAAAGGCCTTGTGTGACAGGTCTCTAGAAGCTCCCGGTAAACTGAGGCGCCTATCACTTCTGATTTCAAAAATTGGAACAGATTCGAACTGCTCAAGCACTCATTTCTATTCACTTTACGGCGGCTGGCTCCTGTGAGAGGATAAGTCGGCTTCATGCATATCAAGTGAATATACATAAAATTTCTTGGGAGTTAAGTACAGATAAACTTTCCCAGCGTCACCCGGCTTTGGGTCAAGGTGGCATCTCTAGCCTTTGCACTTCCAAGTGCCAACTGCAAGGCAGCAGGAAAGTAGCGCATGGTTGCTGGTGGCTATCTGGGGCGGGGCCGGGGAGGGGGGGGCTCATACGCCATTGAATATTTCTAGCTGAACAGGAGCCCATGCATCCCTGATGAGTACGGAGTCATTATTTTGACCGTTGAGTCGTAAAGGTGACTTCGTGCTCCTAACACGTACATTAGACACCGACTCGTTGGGAGTTGAGCTCCCGGTTTCCCGCAACCTAGTTTGGCCCGTCTATCGAGCGGTTTGCCGGGGTTTTGCCGCTGTTACATCTAAACAGCTTCTTAGAGGCACAGTTGAGAGCTGAGTGCCTGTTGGAGACCGAGGAACGGAGTAAGCCCCAAAGGGGCCGACAACCCTCCGAGTCAGAGGTGGTACCGGGTACTCCTACATGACAGCGTTTCACAACCAGCTGACTTTATTGTTCTTCGGTCATCTTCTCTGGTTTTATTGAAGAAAAGTTTTATGCCGACACCTAACAATTATTAGCAGCGCTTCCTTAATTTACACGAATCATTCCTTGCGACACTTTAAAATCATCACATAGATTCTTGTCCACTTTATGAAAAAAGATTATTACAGACTCTAATCACTCATTGCATGCTGAAATAACAGACTGTCGCGTCCATGGCTTCACACAGTCTGTCTTCCGACATAGACTATCTCGTAGAAACTTCTACCCAAATTCGAATGACCCTGGTCTGTGTGTATATCGCTAAACAAAAAGGGGGTTACAAGTGTACCATATCTTAACCTTGGAATATAGTCATGTTAAAGATCTCTGCAAACAGAAAGTATTTAGTGACGGTTGGTGGGGGTGTATTCATCTTAATTGAAATGTGGGCTTTAGTCCTTGTCGAATTCACACAATATCATGATAAATGCATATTACTCCACTGAAACCAAACGTCATACACGAGAACCGAAATTTGTTGCTCTTGAACGACAAGCTGGCATTAGTTATCGGTGTTTGAGACCTGGGGACAAAACGAATTCGAGAGTGATTCCAGCACAGCTCCATTTAAGCATGAGCAGTCACATTTTACCAGATCTGACTAAGAGGAAGAAAAAACAATCGTCAATGACGCAGGTTTAGTTGGGCATAAAAGGAGCTGGTGAATCACAAGCGAGCTAAAGAGCTGGCCAGTATCAACATACAGCGGTCGATCTATAACAGCAAGGCTTCACTTTATTTATTTTAATTTCATTATACACTTTAGAGTGGCGAACAACACACGGGGTAAGCCTTATAGGCACAAGCACCTACGGTTCAGTAATGGTAAACGGGTAACCTAAGCCTTGCGGGGATTGGATTGGTGAACCACCTAAGACCCCGATAGGTTAAGCGTGGTATTGAACCGGACGACAGCAAAGCTGTCTACCACAAATGGTGAACGTGAAACAAGTTCATATAAGAAATCTAGCGATGGGATTAACGATCTCTTGAGTGCACGCGTTATTCCTGTTGGTTAAACAGGAATATAATGGACGTAAAAATACAGATAGTTTACTTGATTGTTTTTATGTAGACGTGGTAGTTGTGGTGGTGGTGGTGGAGGCTGACCCGATAGATAACATTGATCCGGAAAGTATCAATAGATTGAGAAAAACGTCTAGAAATGGGAATAGACAGCTCGAGACAGCACAAGTCCTTGTACGTACCTGTCAATTTTTACTG